CATAGATAAAAACACGGTCCGTCATCAGGCGGGCGCAGGTACGCGCGGCGCACCAGAACAGCATGCAGGCACGCGCGCAGGGACGGGCGCACGTGGGCGCAGCACAGCAGAGCAGCGCGCGCAGGCGCGGGGCAGCAATGATGAAGACCGTGTGTCTCGATTGTCGACAAGCTGCTCCCGCGCCTTAAATCGCTCGATAGGTGTTATGAAGTCGCACACTCGCAGCCTTTCTAACGATTATAATTGCAATAGAAATCAAGAAGAAAACTAGAGCAAAGAGATTGAACAAAAGTTCCTGATTTTTGTATTGATTTCTTGGATGATTAAATTAACTAGAGGAAGGGCCTTTATATAGGCATCAACTATATCTAGTCCTAATATAACTATAACTCTAATAAAGCAATAAAATATTAAGTGTCCTAAATAATCTAGATATCATAAAGCAATAACGAAACTAAATATCTAGGGAATCTAACGCCTTGGCTTTCACTCCAAGTCCATGTTTCCTAATCGCCCAAGCGCGTCCACCAGGTCGCCTAATCCTCGTGCACCTAGGCAAGTTTGCGCGTGCATCCCGTCGCTTGCGCGTCCAAACCCGCGCTCGACCCGAGTGCGTCATCTTCAACGCGCGCTTGCCCATCCTTGTATCGCGCCTCTCCGGCACGACGACTTAACCTCCTTCACGCATGCCATGCGCGACTCGCTGCGTTCTTGAGCCTTCTCGCCGTGTCCGCATCATTCCCGTCCCCTTCAAGTGCTTCCTTGTCCTCACTCGGCAAGTCCTCCCATTCGACGAGCACCTCCCAAAAATATTTCCCAGCCTTTTTGACTTGCCGGTACTCCATCGCGCGGCTTCGCCGCACCATAACCTGCCCATCCGGCGCGACCGCGAGTAGTCGATCCTTGGCCGCATGCGCTTCGCCGAGTCGTTGCTTGAGTTGTGAGACGTGTATGACCAGATGAATATAGGAATTGTTCGGCAACTCAAGTCGATAAGTAACCTTCCTAACCTTGGCCAAAATTTTATAAGGCCCGTAATATCGAACTCCGAGTTTGGTCGCGGCCCTTTGCGCGGCCGTCCTTTGCCGAAACGGCCTCAACTTCAAGTATACCCAGTCCCCGGGCTCGAACTCCACGTCACGCCGCTTGCCATCATGGTACGCCTTCATCCTATTGATCGAGCCCTCCAAAGTCCACTTTAGCTCGCGCAACATCAACTCTCGCTCGACCAACTCTCTATCGACCTCATCGTTCACGGCGCTCCCCATCGAGTAACTCACGATCATCGATGGTTTGCGCCCGTACAACAACTCGAACGGCGTCGCCTTAGTCGAGCTATGGTAAGTGGTGTTATACCAATACTCGGCCCAAGGTAAATAATCCTCCCATCGCTTTGGAAACTGATGCACATAGCACCTAAGGTACTGCTCGAGCGTGCGATTGGTCACTTCCGTCTGTCCGTCGGTTTGTGGATGATAAGACGAGCTCATTTTTAGCTCGGTTCCCTACAATTTAAAGAACTCCGACCAAAAACTACTCATAAATATCCGATCTTGATCGGACACTATTGACCGCGGCACCCCATGCAATTTCATCACGTATTCAACAAACAATTTTGCTATAGACTTAGCCGTGTATGGATGAGTGAGTGGAATAAAATGCGCATACTTGGTAAGGCGGTCGACTACCACCATGACTCCATTGAACCCATTCGAGAGTTGCAACCCCTTGATAAAATCCATGGTGATGTCCTCCCAAATACGCGCGGGAACCGGTAAAGGTTGGAGCAGCCCGCCTGGTCGATGCGCGTCCGCCTTAGTGCGTTGGCACTCATCGCATCTCCCAACGTAGTCGCGCACATCACCCCTCAGCCCCGGCCAATAAAAAGTGCTCGCAATCCTCATCCATGTCCGGAACACCCATGAGTGTCCTCCAAACTTCGAGTCGTGGAAGTGCCGGATGATGTCCTCGCGTAACGATCCCGCTTCGGGCACGATGACTCGCCCATGATAAAGGAGCAATCCATCGTGCATGTCATGGTCCCACTAGTAGAAAAAACATTTTTTATAACAGAGTTTTTATAACGGTTTTGTTAAACCCGTTATAAAAACAAATTTATATCCGGTGTTTATGAAACCCGTTATAAAGTTTTCAGATTCTCAATTATCTATAACAGTTATTTAAACAACTGTTATAAAATTTCTCACATTTTCAATTATCTATAACAGTTATTTAAACAATTGTTATAAAATTTTCAGATTTATCAAATTTGTGCGTTTATCTGTCTCTCGCTCCCAACAAAATACCTCTCCCTGTATCTCGCAAAATCACACTCTCTCGACCAAATCACACAACCTCTCGAAAAAGCCCAAAATCGCACAGTCCAAGCCCTATTCGAAGTCGCCCGTCACCGTTCGTACCAAGTCCCCGTCGTCGTTCATCGCTGCACTGAGACCTCGCCGTCCGTCGCTGCACTGAGACCTCGCCGTCCGTTGCTGCACTAACCCTCGCCATCCGGTGTTGGCCGTTCCAAGCCCTATTCACACTCGTCCGTCGCTGTTCGTACTCCAACCTCGGACGGGCTTCAACCTCCGGTGATATCAGGCCTTGATTTTCCGTCAGGCCGCAGCTACTCCCGAGCCCCGACCATTGTTCGGTGATTTTTAGCTCTCAACGACCGAGCTCTCTTTTGGGAACTGCGGGGACCTTCAACTCCCAGCCACTTCCACGTCCGACGACTAACATTGACATCACACCGGTCGACGATCTTCGCAGCACCACAGAGTCGACCAAATCGCTTTGTTCTTCCGGTGATTTGGTTCCTTATCTCCGATTCAAGGTATTTTGGCTAACCCAACTCTTGAGTCTGATTGTTGTTGGTATTGGAGGTTGTTATTTTGATTTCGTTTTGCCGAGCAGAGCCCTGAATACTTCTAAATTTGTACCTCTGTTCAAAACTGAATTCTTTGGAAAGGAAATTTCTATCTTCAAGGACGTTTGTATATTTGCTGCACCAAGCCCTCGGCGTTCGCTGCTCCAAGCCCTTGCCATCTGCTGCTCGCCGTTCGTTCGATTTTTTATTTGTTCGAAAGGTAAAATTTTAGCTGAATTTTCGATTTCTTGTTTATTTTATTCGTGATGATCAAAATTGTGATGTTGTCTGCTTATATGAAGTTCAAGCTGTTCATTTCATGAATAATATTGTTCTTCTGCTTTACGAGGAGGGTATGTAACAAGTCTTTGGCTCTTGCTTTGTCGTGAAGACAGATTTCAGAATGTTCATGGAGATTGAATATTTGTGTTACAGGGTGTTACACATGTTATATGCTGCACAGGAACTACAGTCTTTTCTTCTAGAAGATGGGATGGTGATAACACACCTGAAAGAGTAGGTTAGAAAGAAAATTCAAATACTATCATTATTCGAAATAATTCTGAAGAGAGCACTCGAAAAAGATAGATATGCCTTTTTTTTCTATTGGAAGATAAATTTGACCTACATTTACGAAAGATGTTGAGCCCAACAGTTAATTTTTATCTGCAGAATATTCACTGTTTAGAGTTGTGCTTCCACTAAGTCATTTTCGCATTCAGCTTTTGATGATTGCATTTCATTCAGTGCTAGGACTATGGAAGGTTTGGTTAAGTAGAGTACTCAAAATAGTCGCCGAAGAGCAGCACATGTGATACCCAAAAATCAAATGAAAAATAAAATTCCTAATAAGAAATTGGAATCTTTTACCTCGAGAAAGTCATATTTCTATGATAGATTAGACATGAGAAATTACTTGCTAACTGTTTTCCACTTTATTATGCATGAGAAAGTCATATATCTGTGATAGATTAGACATGATAAAGTCATATTTATGTGATTTTTTTTTTTCCATTTTTAATTTTTAATTGCTCTACATAATGAACTTGATGTTCATATGTTTATCTTATTTTCACGCATTATGTGTTAATTTTCGCTTGTAGATTGGGAAGGCGTGAGAAACTTAGTATCTGCATTACCATCTTCATTGAAAAGATTGGTTCTGGTTTCTTCTATAAGAGTCACAAAGTTCAACGAACTTCCCTGGAGGTATTGCGCTTGTTTTGGTTATCAAAAACAACATAATTTGTTGAGTGCTTTTCATGTCAAGTTGATGTAGTCTTTATTTTGCCTACATACATAATTCATCTGACTGGGTCAGATTTGAAAACTGGTTCACTAAAAATCTTGTCCTTTTTATCTTTCCGACATTAGATTTTTCCCTAATGTGATGCTTGTTTTTTTTTTTTTACGCTGTAGCATCATGAATGTATTCGGTGTTCTAAAATATAAGAAAACGGGGGAGGACTTTGTTCGGAATTCTGGTCTTCCATATACTATAATCAGGTTTGGAATGTCTAATTTCTGATCAAAAGTGAGTAATTTGTAACAAGTCTCGACTCTTGAGTGACTAGAGAGTAGAGAGCACTGGGAGAAATTTGTAGGGGTGATTTAAATGTGTGTGTGTGTGTGTGTGTGTGTTTAAGAGAGTTGTCAGAAGTGTTTGGCTTGTTTTACAGAAAATATGTAAAGAATGTCAGACATTGCAGAGAAAATAAATATGTATTGATGTGCCCGCTCTCACTCCAAAGCAAAGGTAACAGTTGAGAACATGCAACGAACTACATTCAAGAAAGACTGACAAAGGGAGATTTTGAATGCTTTCTCGCACCATATCTGAGCCAGTAAGTAACTTCACTTTCATGTCATTTCTTGTTGTCCCATACAAATAAGTATAAATGAACAAAACAACTATGTTTTCTTCTTTTTGAAATGTTAGGGATCATTGGCAAAACAGAATATGGTGGTTTGCTTCTGTTTTTTGTCAAAAAAGCTTAAGAATGATATAGTCCAGAAAATCACGACGTGTGTTTTATTTTAGATGATTTTGATCTATTGGTTAGAATTTATTTTGAAACTACACTCTCTATTTTACATTTAATATGTTAGGGCATTTTTCACATATCAGGTAATGAAGGGAATTCATCCCTACAAACAGAAACCCGAATTGGTCTATCCAAAGGTAAATTTATTTTTTAAACAATGTTATTTTGTAACTTGCAATTTCATTTTGTTACTACATACGATTCTTTTCATATTTTACAAGTGTCGCCAACAATCGGGAGGTGTTGAACGCGGGTATTTTGTTATGAGATATATGTTGGAAATCATCACACTTGACGTTACTAACAACTTTGATAAGGTAATTGTGATAAAACATAATTTTTAAATATCAAGCACTATTATATTTTCAAGTAAATAATGTGTTCTATCTTTTAGTCTTGATAATATGTTATAATTATTTTTTCAAATTGCAGGTGTTTAATTTGGACGAACCCTTCCCGAGTGATGATATTAATGATGTAATGAGACGTTGGGCTCAGCATTTTCTCGATATAACTTCATTAGTGATGTAGGATAAGATTAGACTTTTGTTAGACATGCTTCGTAGTTTGTTGAACATGTGGTGTGAAACTATTTGTCACTTGTTATTGTTGATATGGTAGTTTTGTTTGTTTGTTAATATGGTAGTTTTGTTTTTTAAAAAAATTGAATGTTTGCACTTTTTTTATAACAGGTGTTATCCACGATATAAAAAATTGTGCATTTTAATGTGGGTTCAAAATTATAACGGGTCATTATTTAATCGTTATCAAATTCATTGTTTTTATAACGGGTATTTAGTAACCCGTTATAAATTATAGTGTAAACAAAAGAAGTTTATAACTGGTAAATGAAAGTACAATATAAATATTGTACATTTTATAACGGGTGAATGAGGAACTGATATAATATAGTGTAGTCTATAACAGGTAAACTAAATATTTATAACAGGTCTATGTTACCCGTTATAATTGGCAGTCAATTTATAACGGTTCAACAACCGTCATAGAAAGTTCATACTTTCTATAACGCCTGAAACTATAACGAACTCAAAATCGTTATAAAAAGCTTTTTTTACCCGTTATAAAAACAATTTTTTCTACTAGTGAGATCCTCGTCCTCGTCGTGTCCCACGTTCAGCTTCTCGATCACATCCCGGCAATGCGCATCCTCGTCTTGTGCCTTCTGAAGCTCGGCCCAAACGGCCCACGTCGGCCCCGTCACTGCGTCGAGCTCGGCTACGTCTTCCCGGCGAGACAATGCGTCGGCCACGGTGTTCTGGCGACCGGGTTGATACACTATCTCGAAGTCAAACCCCATCAATTTGGACACGAACTTCTGCTGCTCGGGCGTCACGATCCTTTGCTCGAGCAAGTGCTTGAGCGGCTGCTGGTGCGTGACAATCCGAAAGTGTCGCCCAAGCAAATACGGCCTCCACACGCGCATGGCCTTGACCACGGCCAGCATTTCCTTCACGTACGCGGACAAACCTAAGCGCGCTGGCCCGAGTGCCTTGCTGAGATAGGCCAAGGGTCGTCCTTCCTGCACCAGAACCGCTCCGATTCTAATGTCGCTCGCATCCGAGTGAATCTCGAACAACACATCAAACCTCAGCATTGCGAGCACGGGCGTGGTCGTCATGGCCTCCTTCAACTCCTCGAAAGCCTTCTCGCTCACCTCCGTCCACTTGAATGCTCCCTTCTTCGTCATCTCTGTGAGTGGCTTCGCGATGGTTCCATAGTCCTTCACGAATTTGCGATAATAGCCTGTAAGACCAAGAACCCTCGCAACTATGTCAAGCTCGTGGGCTTCGGCCACCCCACCATCACCTCGATCTTCCTTGGGTCCACCTTAACACCCTCATGAGAAATAAAGTGCCCAAGGTATTCGACCACCTCTTGAGCAAACAAGCACTTGGACAGCTTGATGTAAAACGAGTTAGCCGCCAAAATCTTCAAAACAACTCGCAAGTGCTCGAGATGATCTGTCCAGGTTTTTGAGTACACCAAAATGTCATCAAAGAATACTAACACAAACTTACGAAGGTAGTCCTTGAAGATTGAATTCATCGCAAACTGAAATGTCGACGGCGCATTGCACAAACCAAAAGGCATCATGAGATATTCGTAGAGTCCTTGGTGCGTGCGAAAAGCCGTCTTGGGCACGTCCTCCTTGGCCAACCTGATCTGATGGTAGCCCGCGCATAGGTCGAGCTTAGAGAAGTAACGGGCGCCCCCCAACTCGTCCAGCATGTCGTCAACGCTCAAAATGGGAAAGCGATCCTTCACAGTAGCCGCATTGAGAGCGCGTAGTCCGTGCAGAACCGCCAAGTTCGGTCCTTCTTCTTTGTGAGAAACACTGGTGACGAGAACGGGCTCGAGCTATGCTGGATGAGCCTGGACTCGAGCATCTCGCCCACCTGCCGCTCGATCTCTGTCTTTTGGAAGTGTGCGTATCGATACGGATGCACGTGCACTGCTCGACCTTCCTCGACCAAATGTATGCGGTGGTCGAACTCTCGGTGTGGCGGCAGTCCCTTGGGCTCGTCGAGGACCTGGTCGAACTCCTCGAGCAAGTCACGCACCTCGCGCTATCTCTCCTCGACCACTTGGTCGAACTCCTCGACCACCTCCGCGTCCTTGCTTGTCTGCTCGACCACGACAACGTACAACTGTCCGCCACCTCGCCACACCTTCTCGATGCTTTTTGGACCAACTTCCTTGGTTGCCCCTTCACTAGCCTTCAAGGTAACGAGTTGATCACCGGCCTCGAACTTCATCACACCCTTCCGATAATTAGTCGTCACATCTCCTAGTCCCTCGAGCCACTGCACCCCAAGCACCACATCCGGTCCCACCAGAGGTAAGGCAAACAAATCCGCCTTCACCGTCACTCCTTGAAACTTGATCGGCACGCCCCCGATACATCTCCGAGCACCGCAAGCGCTCGCCATTCGCCACCCTAACCTCGAACGGCTCAATCGTGGTCATGGGCAACTTGAGTTTGTGCGAGAGAGTTGCATTAATGAAATTGTGCGACGACCCATTGTCCACGAGTACCGTAACCCGCCGATCTTTCAACCATGCCGGTAACTTCATAGTCCTCGGGCCTCTAGTGCCCGCCATCGCATGGAATGAGATCTCGGCCTCGTCATTGAGCACCTCGACCTCCACCTCCCGTTCTTCCTCGATCACCGGCTCCTCGTCATCTGAGTCTACAAACTCGATCAAGAAATTCTGCTTGCACCGATGTCCCTGCGTGTACTTTTCCTCACACCGGAAACAGAGCCCTTTCTCACGTCTCCGTGCCATCTTCTCCTCCGTCAACCTCTTCACCTCAGTTGCTGGGGGCCTAAATGTGCCCGGCGGCCTTGCGTTCGCACTAGGTGCACCCACGGTCGCCGGCACACGCCGCAGCTCCGGGACACGAAAATCCGCCCGTCCCCTTCGAGTCGCGGCCAAGTGATCCTCTCGTCTCCTAGCAACTTCCATGGCCTTATGCATGGTCTCCGGCCTCTCCAATTGCACTTCAGCCGCGAGATCATACCTAAGCCCTCCATCAAACGCGCCAACAAACGCGCTCTCCGGCCACCCGCGAACCCGGCACGCCAATCTCTCGAACTCTTTTTGGTAGTCACGTACACTCCCCGTCTGCCAGATCCGAGTAAGTGCCTCGTCGTGGTTATGATAGTCAGAGTTCCCGAAACGCGTAAGGAGCTCGCGCTCAAAATCTTCCCAACGGATCGGTTGTTGTCGCCCGCGATACACGCGCGTGAGCCACTGCCACCACACGTTGGCTTCACCATCTAAATAGTACGCGGCATACCGAACCCAGTCACGTTGTGGCATCTCGTTTAAGTCGAAGAATTGCACCGCCCTGTTCAGCCAAGCGTCAGGGTTGGCTCCCGTGAATGTCGAGAGCACGATCCTTGGCTTCTCGACGCGGGCTCGCTCATGTACATTCGACGCCTGCGACCGTTGTTCGTATTCTTCCTCCTCCTCGAGGTTGTGCTCAGCCCACTACTGCTCCTGTTGCCTTAGACGCTCGCGTGCGTTCACCCGTGGTGGCTCCTGCTGCTGTCGCTGAAACCCGCGCAACACCTCCTCCAGGCGCTGCTCGAGACAAGCCACGGCAGCACTGGTGCTGATCTGGCCCTCGTAGAGCGATCCAAACCGATCCTCCATGCTCTCTCTTATGGCCTTGAATTGGCCTTCTAAGCCTTCAACCTTTTCCTTCAACCAACGATTGGCCATATCTTTTCTGGCTTGCCTACGTTCTCGACTTCCCGGACTAATTTTGATTTTTTTTTTTTTGGAACGAACGAAAATTAAGAAAGAAAAATTAAAGAGAATGGGAAAGAAAAGACACACGATCGACTCTCTCAATGAAAGCACCAATGATGAAGACCGTGTGTCTCGATTGTCGACAAGCCGCTCCCGCGCCTTAAATCGCTCGATAGGTGGTAGGAAGTCGCACACTCGCAGCCTTTCTAACGATTATAATTGAAATAGAAATCAAGAAGAAAACTAGAGCAAAGAGATTGAACAAAAGTTCGGATTTTTGTATTGATTTCTTGGATGATTAAATTAACAAGAGGAAGGGCCTTTATACAGGCATCAACTATATCTAGTCCTAATATAACTATAACTCTAATAAAGAAATAAAATACTAAGTGTCCTAAATAATCTAGATATCATAAAGCAATAAGGAAACTAAATATCTAGGGAATCTAACGCCTTGGCTTGCACTCCAAGTCCATGTTTCCTAATCGCCCAAGCACTAGGGCTTCATCTTCCATTCCCGCTCATGCATCCAGCAGGTCGCCTAATCCTCGCGCGCCTAGGCAAGTTCGCGCCTGCATCCCGTCGCTTGCGCGTTCAAACCCGCGCTCGGCCCCGATAATATCGAGCGCATCATCTTCCGCGCGCGCTTGCCCATCCGCGTATCGCGCCTCTCCGGCACGACGACTTAGCCTCCTTCGCGCATGCCATGCGCGACTCGCTGCGTTCTTGAGCCTTCTCGCCGTGTCCGCATCAAGCAGCGTGCGCGCGCGCGCAGGGCAGCAGCGCGCTGGCAGCACGCGCGGGCGCGGGAGCAGGCAGCCAGCGGGCAGCAGTGCGGGGCTGACTTGTCAAGCAAGAAACAAGACTTGTAGGAGTTCTTTTAGAGCTGAATCTTCTCTAGATCATTCTTCCCTACTTGGAGTGCAAGTCAAGGCACAAGATCCCTTAGATATTTACTTTCTTTATTGCTTTATGATATCTAGATTGTTTAGGAATTTAATATTTTATTGCTTTAATTAAGTTTCCTAGGTAGATT